ATGAGCCTCCTTTCTGTCTTTGCCAGCTAGATCCCCAGTGCCAGGCGCAGGGGCCCCACAGATGTTTGTGGGATGAATGACCTTGTGTGAACTTGGCCAAGTGCCTTTGCTCCCCTGGGCCCATCTCCCCTTCATTCAAATGGGCACGAGGCACACTGGCCAGAGTGTAAGACAAGCTGGCATTTACCCAAGCTCTGCCCTGTGATTCTCCTAGTCCTCATCATACCCTTTGCTGTTACTCCCATGTCACAGAAACAGAGAGTGATGCTCAGAGAGGCCGCTGCTTGTCGAGTCACAGACCTGGGGTTCAACCCCCATCCTGAGGGGGGCCTGGGCCGGGGTGGTCATGGCTGCAGTGCACACCCTCCCCGTGGCGCACGCTGGCAAGGACAGCACCGTGACACCGACCATCAGTTGGTGCTGGTGGCACAGGGCACAGCCAGATGCTCACCTCCTCCACCTCCCCAGCCCCTCCTCAGTCCCCCTCCTCCAGCAGGTGGTGCTGAGTCTCTCCCAGGGCCCACCCACCGCCTCCCCCAGCGCTGGCTGCACAGGGCGCCCCACCCCCACCAAGGGGACAGGGGCAGGGGGCTGTGACTGTGGGTGTTTAAACAACTGGATTTAATTTCTCTCAGGATTCCTTCTGTCTCTTGTCAAGTTTGTTTAAAACTAATGGAAATAATTAGCAAACCGCAGAGACATGTGCAGCAGGTCGCGGCTGTGGGTAAGGAGCGCCGGGTGGGCCCGCATCACAGTCCAGAATTGGGGTGCCACCTGTTCTCCACACAGCGCTCCCGCACTGGAGGCCGGGACCGTCCGTGCGTGTGTTTCCACACAGGCGACATCCCTGCAAAGTGACTTTCCTCCTCGCAGTTGGCGCTGGGGCCTCAGTCCCAGAGGAGCCTGTGCCGTGCGCGTGCAGACATCCTGCCTCTGCTGTCGGGGGCCTGGGGAGGCCAGGGCCTGGGGAGGCCGCAGCCTCAGAGAGCAGGCACAGGGACCTCCAGGGTCGGGTGTCTGTCAACAGCAGCAGAAGTTTCCCGCACGAGGACCTGGATGTGCCCATTTAGAGACGTCTGCTGGGTCTGCCTGCCGGGCTCATGGAGAATGAGCTGCCGCCGCAGGCTGGGCCTGAGAGAGCCTTCAGGAGCGGGGCCATCCCACCTCCCCCTCCTGCGGCTTCCAGGTGTGAACTGTCTCTGAGCCTCAGTTTCCTTATCTGCGAAGGGGACAATACACCTGCACACGGTGCCTTCCCGTCGCAGCACGAGCAGGCCGTGCCCAGCAGAGCGCCCAGCACCCACACACGGGGCACTTCCCAGGGTTTGAGCCTAGACTGCTGTGTAATCTGGATTTACATGGCAACAGGAGCTCCTCCTCACTCAGTGGTTTTATCCGATATGTGGACAGAAAAGTTTTCTCGTAATTCCCATAGGATTTTAACTTTCTCCTGAAGACTGAGAGAAATCAGCAGATCCAAAACAAATATGTTAAGGAAAATGTTAACCAAAATGTTACAATTGGGTGCTCACCTTCGCGGCCTGGGATGCTGGTGGCAGCAATCTTTGGTGGCTTTTTCCCATGGGGACGTTTTGCATTTAGCGGGGCCTCACTGGTCCTCACTGGTTCCTAAAGACCCTGCCGAGCTCAGGAAACAGTCCGTTCCCGCCGGTGCCAAGGGAGAGGGTGAAAGGGGCGGCGTGTGGTATTTCTGGGCTGAGCACAAAGCAACAGCAAGGCTCTTATTGATTGAAAACCCTGACGGTCCCTTCACCGCCCGGGGCATCGTGCGGAAACTGGGGCTTGTTTCCCCCGACTATGTGCCAGCACCGTCCACAGCCCCGGGGCACAGCAGCCCTGCTCTCACGTGCTCAGCAGTCCGGGAGGCCACAGCCAAGAAACAGGAAAATCAGGAATTCTGGGAGGAAGCGAGTGAAGATGCCAGAATGGGGTGATACGGTGGGGAGGGCAGCGAGCGTGTGCTGGCTTGGCTCTGGGGGTCCAGCGGCTTTTCTCTGACATCAGAGCCAAGTCCTGAGAGGTGGGTGGGAGCCAGCCCATCAGGAACCTGCAGGGTCCTGACCACACCTGCCGTCCAGGTGCGTTAGGTCCAAAGCTTGAGTTCTCTACGTCTTGTCAGAAGCCAGTCTGGAAATGCGCCGAAGGTGAAGGGCGTCCTTGGACCCCTGTGCTGGGGCCTCCGCCAGCCCCGCACCCAGCAGCCGGCCTGGCCTGCACAGGAGCTCATGGGCATGCAACGGCCAACAGCACTATAGCCGCTGAAGGAGGAGGACAGAGACCTGGGTGCTGTGGGCTGCATGGGGCTGGCTTTCCAGGACACTGAGGTGCCAGACTGGCCTGCCTGCTGGTGTCGCGCTGGACTCCAGGCCGCAGGGCTCTGCGTCTCCCTGCATCCCTCCCAGAAAAGCTCCATGTTTGTCAGGCGACCCCTTCCAGAAGGCAAGCCAAGTGACCAATGGCGAAGGCCAGGCTTTTCCATGTGCCGAGGGTCCCCAGGAGAAGGGGTGGCCTCTCCAAGACCTGCCGCAGCTGCCCAGCTCTGAGGAGCTGAGTGCCGTCTTTCTCCTCGGAACAGTCAATGGAGAACCTGTGGGCACGTACGGCTGCTCCCACCATCAGCCACGGGCAGGGCCGAGCCCGTTGCCAGAGCTGAAAGGAGCAGCCGGAGAGCCGGGAAGACCAGGGTCTCCTGGGCGGTCTGCAGAGAACAAGAGTCCAAGGGTCGTATCAGGGCTGAGCCGCTGGGCACCCGTGGGAGGGGCCAACTCAGGCTCTGAACTAGATGCACCAGCCAGTGCTGCCCGGAGCCCAGTGAGGCCGTGGAGCCCGCAGAGCGGCAGGCGGCTCCCGGGAGCAGAGGCAGCACAGCCCTGGAAGATGCTGTGCGCAGCATATGCGGAGAGCGTGCGGCTCTGCAGCTAGGGTCTGAGGTTCAGACTGCAGGCCACACTGGGGAGCAACAAAGCAGAGAGAGGCCAGATGAAAACTGTGTGGCCAAACCCCATGCTGGTGTCCCCTCTGTGCATGGGACACGCCATGGATGCTAGCATCTGCACATACCCGTGCATTTTCACCTCTGTCCTCCTGGGAGGCATTTAACCTACAGACATGGATGCAGACTCTGAAAGTAAAAAAGAATGCAACAGGAAGAAAGCAGGTGGAAGAGGAAACAAAGAGGGAAACTAGGATGGAATGTGCTGAGGTTCGTAAATGACTCAGCACTTTAGCTCCCAGCCACAGTATTATCTCTGAGCTCCCTGGTAGCCAAAGTGAAAAGAGAAACCATTTTGGCACAATTTGCCAGGAAAAGACAAACTGGCTCCCGGAAGAGAGGAGTCATTCCTCTCCTAAGACCTCAGACGTTTTTCTCGAGGGTCTGCCCCCGACCCCCTCCCCCAACCCCAAGTGCTCACTCACCGTTTTTATGGCAAGGCAAAGTGTGACATTCTGAGGGTGTTTATGTGTTCAGCAATTTAAACCCACAGTTCACAGGGTTTCGAACAGGAGTGTTCATTTATTCAGTGCTAGTGTTTTATGAATGCCCCTGGTGTCTCGGAAGAACAGCCCTTATTGATCTTCCCTTTGAAAGAGAGGCCACAGCCCAGCAGCCTGGCAGCAGGCATTGCTCTGAATTTCCCTCCTTCTGGAAAACTGGTCCCCCAGCACTGGGGGTGCCCGAATGGCCCTCATCTTCCCACGGCCAAGTTTCAACTCCTGCTGCCTCGCTGATGAGGGTTCAGAATCTCAGACCTGAGTGGTGACCACCACCCCATTGGACTGACCAGATCAGCCGGGTCGTGGTTACACTGAAGCTGATGGTGGAGTTTCCTCTTGTCACAAAGCCCGTTGCTTCCTCCCGGTTGGACGGGCTTGTGTCCGACATCGATGGGAAAGACGTTAACTGTCAGGGCACCATGAAGATCTCATGGGCGCCCGCCTAGAGAAGCCCTCATGTCGCCCACAGGCCTGATTCCTGTCGGGCTGTGCCCCACAGTCGCTTTGGCGGCACCATCTTTAATGTCCTTGAGGGTCCCTGTCGTCCACTGAGGACATCCGTCATCTGACAAGTCCCTGGTTCCTGTGGACCGCACCCTGAGCATGCTGTCTGGGCGGCTGCCGTGCTGGTGACTTGTTCTTTTTTTTTTTTTGGAGGAAGATTAGCCCTGAGCTAACTACTGCCAGTCCTTCTCTTTTTGCTGAGGAAGACTGGCCCTGAGCTAACATCCATGCCCATCTTCCTCTACTTTATATGTGGGACGCCTACCACAGCATGGCGTGCCAAGCCGTGTCACGTCTGCACCCGGGATCCGAACCGGTGAAACTCGGGTGGCTGAGAAGCGGAATGTGCGCACTTAAGCACTGCGCCGCCGGGCCGGCCCCAGTGACTTGTTCTTCTGAGAGCAGCATCATGCTTACCTCAGACGTCACCAAAGCTCGGTGCCTATTTTTTAAAAAATACAACGGCATCGCCTTTCGGTCCTGAGGAGATGCGGTCCGTCCGCTGCGGTCCAGTTCCACAAGCGGTTAAAAATCTGCTTTTAGAGAACAATTGGGCTTATTTATGTATTTTGTGCTAATCTTCCGGCAATCACAGAACTGTCATTTTTATCTTTGTCAGTGACAATAGGATGTCAGAAATGATTGATCCGCTCAGTTCGTTGCTGATTTTAATTTGTTTACCGTTGGGGCGAGCGGTACTCTAAAAGCAGTTTGGAATTTTCCTGTCACTTGAAAAAATGTCATTATTCCCTCCTTGGGGGTGTTTCCGTGGAGCCACAGCCCTCGTGACCTTGGTTGCCCTCCTCCCCCGAGGACCCTGCCGGCACGGCTCTGGAGTCTGTAACACGCGCTTTCCGGCCAGACGGGGCCAAAATGCCTGGTTTGACCAAACTTAAAAGCATTTTTATATTAAACCCACAAGTGGGAGGTGCCGGTAACTGGGGAGACGTCTGAAGTGAAGTATTGGAGGTGAGGGAACATACATGTTATTTATTATTTCAAGGCAGGCAACAATAAAAGGTGAGCCCTGGGGGAAAACACTGTATCAAACGTAACAGTGAGGAGCTTTTTTTCAGTTGGTAGAATAAATAGTAATTAAATCATGTAAGCTGTGACAGTGAAATTGCTTAAAAAACCAGTCCTCCCACCGTAATTGCTGAGATACCCACATTTTTATAAATACGAGGTAACTTTATCCACCGTTTTTATCAGCAGAATGTGACACCAGCTGGTGGTGCCTCATAATTTACCACGGCGTTAGGCAGCCACTGCAGAAGCACGCGTATAAAAAAGGCACTAGGGTGGTCCCAGTGAATATGCGGCCTCCAGGATGTCCCTTCCTGCAGCTGAGTTACAAACGGCCGGGGCCATGGAGGCATTAGCAGGGCCCGGCGATTCGGTGCCTAATTAATGTTTGAGTAGCACAGCAACATGCCCGCCCAGCAGTGTCAGCAGACTGTCCACCTCGAACTCCCTGTTTCCAATTCACCGAGAAAGCACTTTGCTGCCCCAAGATCCCTGCGGGTCCTGCTTCACGCCCAGCCCACCCTGACGGAGAGTTTTCAGGTGTCGGGTTCATGTGGCTGACGAACAAAGTGGACCAGAGAAGGCAGCGGGTTCGAGTTCCACTCCGAATACCGCTTTCTCCCGCTCCTTCCACACTTAGCCTTCTTCGGGTGGAAACACAGATCCGTCGGGGGCTTTCAAGTGCATTGGCGGCAGAGGGTTGGCACAGGGCAAACCAGGGGAGCATCTTTCGGTGGAGAATACCCGCCGAGTCGCTAGCGCCTCCAGCTCGAATTCAAAGGCAGCCGTGACAAGGGAGAGACGCGTCTGCAGAAATGGAGAAGGGCTGTGGTTTAGATATAATGAAAGTGCAGCCATTGCTTTTTTTATTATTATTTCCTTTTTCTAAGGCCTCTATGAATTCCCCAGGAGGGTGAGATAAAACACAACACCTGAAGGTCGAAAATCAGTTAAATCACTGTCTTCCTGGTGCTCGTTGGAGACTTGGAGCCGCTGCTGAGAAAGCAGCCGTGTGACTGCGCTGCCCCGCCCGTCTGCCGGCGGTCCTGACCCTTCTCCTCCTCTCCTCTTGCAGTCAAGTTCAGCAGCTGTTTGGGGACGAAGGGGACTCAGTATGAGACCAACAGCATGGACTTCAAAGTCGGGGCGGACGGAACGATCTTCGCTGCCCGGGAGCTGCGGGTCCCCTCTGAGCAGGTGGCGTTCACTGTGACCGCGTGGGACCGCCAGACGGCCGAGCGGTGGGACGCCGTGGTGCGGCTGCTGGTGGCCCAGACCTCCTCGTCCGTGCACTCTGGACACAAGGTAAGGTGTGACCGGACTCGGTGGGCTTGGTGAACGTCCTTCCTCCTTCTGGTCACCATAGCAGGGACTTCCTAAGGACGGGGCTGACAGCTCCGAGGGCTGTGCCGGCCGGAGAGGACCTCTGACCCTCCCAGCTTCCTGAGGCAGGGCTGCCTCACGGACAAAGGCACAGGGCCCCACTCCTGGTTTAAGGTACTGCCTCCAACTTCTTGACAGCCCTAATAATTTTGTGAAAAAGGGCCCCACATTTCCATTTCTCACTGGGCACCACAGGTTCTGTAGCATCTCCTGCCTGAGGGCTGAAGCCCACCAGCCGGGGGCTCCCCATGCCTGGAGGGATGAGAGAGAAAACGAAGGCCACGTGGCTGGCCATGGCAGGCAGCCAGAGTAGCTGGTGTAAGACTAATTCAGAGGGAGAGAGGGAGAGATGGGGAGAAAGGGAGGGATGGAGGGGCGAAGGAGAGAGACGGCGCCGGGGGTGGGGGGAGACACGAACGAGTCAGTGTTACCCAACCTCCCTGGCCCTGCCTCCAACTTCGTTTCTGACTGGCCAGTGTGACCAGTGTCCATAGAATGGGGAGGGGTGAATTCGCCCTCCCCTGAGCCAGAGAGGTCTCTCATCTCTGCAGTGGCCAGCCGTCCAGGACCAGACTCCTCAGCCAACCCATGGTCACCCCCAAAGTCCTCAGGGTCAGGTCTCACGTGTCTGATGGGGAACAGGCCCGTTCCCCTCCTGCCGCCCTGTGTTTCGGCAGCTGCACTGGCCGTGGGCGTGGGGGCTGGCGGGCCGGCAGAGAAGTTGCAGGCCGGTTGGCCAGCATGACAGGTGCCAGCTGCTCACATCCACCTGCCAGAAGGGCCAGCCAGTGGAGAGGGAGGATCCCCTGCACCCCTCAGTTAGCAGATGGCCTGGGGGACCATCAGCATTGTGATGGCACTGTGTGTGGTTCATCAGCGGATGAGAGCACACGGGTTCAAGCAGTGCCAGGCCACCTGGGACAGCGGTCATGGTCCTCCCTCAGAAAGGGGCCCTGGGAAGTAAAGGGCTGGACCAAGCTGAACAGATTCCTTTCTACAGATTTCCCCAGAACCTCACACAACTAGCATGCCTTGTGCACCTCAGTGGGAGACAGTCTGCAAATTTCCCCAAACCTGTTGACCAAGGAACCCTCTTCACCGAACATCTTGCAAGGCAGGTGTTCCAAGGAACTCACTTTGGGAAAACAGGGACCTGTGTTTTGTTTCATCTTGTTTTTAAACAAGTAGATGCGGTTTAGGTTGGAAAAGAGAAAGCGGTGACTTGGGTGGATGGCCTTCCCTTCGGTGATGAGCTGACATCCCTGGAAAGACATCCTGAGTGGCCTCGTGGGTGTGTTGAACCAGGCGTCAAAACACGTTTCTGTCAGCAGTGCCCCCGAGATCATGAGCGGCACCTTGTGGATGCTGAAAAACCTAAGACACATGTGGTCTCCCTTCTTTCCTGAGTGACTGTGACGGGCCACACCCTGGGAGAGGGCAGGGAGCAGCCCTGGGGACACTGTCCCCATGGGGCCCTTCCCTCCAGGTGGTGGGGGGCCAGGGGAGCGGTGTTAAGTCTGCACCCCGGATCGCGATGCAGAAACCATCCCATCCGCCTTGTGAGCAGAGAGTCGGGCGCCTTACAGCCTGCGGAGGCTCAGATACAAGGCACTAATGGAAAAGGTAATGGCACCTTTTGTTAGGCATGTTAATGAAGTGATTTCTGATGCAATTAACCCTGATCCTCATGGAAGGTGATTGCAATCAGTCCCCGGTACGTACACCCCTCCAGCCCCACGATGGGCTGGCCCAAGAAACGCCCAGTCAGCAGAACAGGGGGCACAGATTGGTGTCCCAGGCTCAGACCTTCCTGGTGAGCCCGGGCGTCGGGTGATGGTGGGACCGCACACCCAAGTGCGTGCAGATTGACTGTGTAGGCGGCGGGCAGTGTCTTTGGCCCACCCCACCCCGTCCCTCACTGTAGTTCATCCCCTTCGTTGCTGGTGGCTCCTGTTTCCTCTTCCTTCAAACCCCAAGTTCCCTTCCTGACTTTGAAGGACTTTGTAGGACCACTGAGGCCCTGCCCTAAATGGTGTCGACTCGCCTGACCCTCACATCTCTAGGGGTGGTCACACCTCCAGGAGGTGCTGTCCTGGTCCCCACTTTGCAGATGGGGGAGCTGAGGGCGGGGGGTCTGCAGCCCCTTTGCTGCGTGGGAGAATCCCTGTTCTGGAAGGACTCTAAAGTAACTTTCTGGGTGTGACTGGGCCCACCATCGTCAAGGAGCCGGCTGCCCCGTGTTGTGGGTTCAAATCAAGGGTTTCCAATGTACTGGCTGATGTTCTGCGACAACTCACACAACCTCTCTGAGGTTTACTGCTCTGGAAAATGGCATAGTAATACCACCTGCATCCTGTCCTGGGTTGTCGAGAGTGTTATGTTATGTGAAGTTATGCGTGAAGGACGTGCAAGTTGGAGGCTCTGCAAGAGCCCTGCTCCAAAGAGGTGAAAAATATCAGCCCTTGTTGCTGTCATCAGTGTGGTCCCAGCCCTCCTGGTCCTGTGCTCGTCATGGCAGCTGGCCCTAACCAGGGTATGCCTGAGGGGCAAGGAAGAGGGTCTGGGTGGGACACTGCATCACTTAGCTGATGGGCCCTTACTTACAGAGACCATTACCAACCTTTGAATAACATCACTCTCCATAAATGGATTAAGGTAATGCCAGATTGCTGGTGTCCCCAGCCACCTGTCAGAAGAAATACAAATCTTCTCCAGTAGAAGATATCACATCAGGCCTCAAATTAGATCCATCTTCTTTTATACACAATGTCTAGAGCTCAAGTGAAAGCGACTGGGCACTTAGGAGGGACAAGACACTGAAAATAAAAATCAAGAGAAATAGTAAATAATAAAAGACCCACAGGGGCTCTAGGTAGTGGAGTTATCAGACATAGATTTTATAATAACTTGTGTACTGTGTTTAAACATGTTAAATATAAGAATTTGACAGAGAATTGGAAGTTATAAAAAATTAATTGGGCAATTTAGAACTGAAAAATAGAACAAGTTGAAATTAAGAACTCAGTGGATAGACATATCTGTAGATTAGACAACACTGAAGAGAGAATTAGGGAAGCAAAAAGTAGTGGAAGAAATATTCAGGCTACAGCATGAAAAGATATACAGAAAGAAAACAGAAGAAAGAGTAAGAGATATGGAGAAGCAGTGAGAAGTTCTAACATGCATATGTTTGCAATATGAGGGGGAGAGATAAAGTGGAGCAGAAGTAATATTTGAAAATATAGTAGCAGGAAATGTTCCAAAACTGATCACAGACATGCAGGCATAGATTCAAGAAGCTCTATGGACTCTAAGCAAGATAAATATAAAGAAAATTGCACTGAAGCACTGTCTTAGTCTGTTGAGGCTGCAATAAGAAAATGCCATAGACTAGGGGCTTATAAACCATAGAAACTTACTGCTCACAGTTCTGGAGGCTGAAAGTCTGAGATCAGAATGAAAGCACGGTTGAGTTCAGTGGGGGCTCTCTTCCAGATTGCAGACTTCAGACTTCTCCTGTATCCTCACATGGCAGAAAGCAGAGAGAGCAAGCTCTCTGCTGACTCAAGATTAGCCAGAACGTTGCCCAAAGCCAGCAAGAGCTGCATCCAGAACTGGGAAGAACCATGAAAGAAGATGGAGAGAGAATGTCAGTAAAGGCCAGTCTCATTTGTAAATAGACAGAAAAAAAACTGTAAGCAAAGTATTAACAAACTTGAATGCATCCATGTTTACACAGGAAAATCATGACCAAATGGACTTGTTCCAAGAATGCAAAGTTGGTTTAATACTTGAAGGTTAATCCATGTAATTCAATGCAGAGTAAAGGGTAAAAATCACATGATCATTTGCATAACAGTTGTTAAAATTTAACCTGCATTCAGGACAAAGATATTCAGCAAATTAGGAGAAGAAGGGACAGTTCTTAACTTCATAAAGGGCATCTCAGAAAACCTACAGCAAAAGTCCAGTCTGCTGTTGGAATATTTACTGCCTTTCCTTGAGGTCAGAAGTAGGACAAGGATGTGTTTACATCACACGCCAGAGCTTCAAGCTGATGAGGTGAAGCAAGAAAAAGAAATCAGAATCAATAGAACTAACATTATTTGTGGCTTATGTGATTGTGAACACAGAAAATCTAGAAGAACTGGCAGATAACTTACTGCAATTAATGAGTGAGGTTAGCCAGAGTGCTGGATGTAAAAGCAGTGTGCTCCTGTGGACCAGGAATAGACAGCTAGAAGATGAAATCTGGACCAGATACCAATGACAATAGAATTAAAAAGGATCACGTAACTAGGAACAAACCAACAAAAACTTTACCAGACCCTTACGTGTTATTGAAAACAGTTAACAAAGACCTTTAAAAGTGGAGGGATCTGCCTGCTCATGATTTAGAAGGCTCATGCCGAGGTGATGCCAACTCTACCCAAAGGTTTCTATGGATTCAGCACAACCCCAACAAAACTCGCAGTGCATTCTTTTTTTGCTTGTTTATAGAAGAGTGAAGAGCAGACTTTATGTTTCTTAATGGAGCTGGAGAGGGCCAAGAACGACAAAAAGTTGGGAGGACTTGGTCGTTCAGATACCAAGACATTACTCAACGGCGGCAGTTTCTCGACCTCAGCACTAGTGGCGTTTGGGCCAGGTCATCCTCCGTGGTGGGGCGCCCTGTGCACCAAAGGGTGTTGAACAGTGTCCCTGGGCCCCACCCCCCAGGCGCCAGCAGCACCCCCACCAACCCCCCAGGAACCAAAGCTCTCTCCAGTCATTGCCAAACGTTCTCTGGGGGCAAAAATGCCCCCATTTGAGAACCACTAAATAGAGAAATTAAAATGCTGTGGTTTGGGAGCAAAGAGGGTCAAACAAACTAATGGAACAGAATAGCAAGCCCAGGAAAAATATTTAATGTTTTTTAAAAATCATCTGCATGGAAGTATAACTTTCATAGAAGATTCACCCACTTCACACATAGGATTTGACCAACCTTGTCAAATGCGCATGGTGCAGACACTTGATGTTTTATTAGAGTGCCTCTGACCTCTACAGTCAGGTCAGCAAACTGCAGCCTGCTGGCCACGTCTGACCTGCCGCCTGCCTTTTGGTGGCCTGCAAGCTGAGAATGGGTTCTCTGTTTTTATTTATTTATTTATTTATTTTATTTTATTTTGTTTTTTACGGTATGCTTTCTGGTGAAGAAGATTGGCCCTGAGCTGTCGTCTGTTGCCAATCTTCCTCTTTTGCTTTTTCTTTCTCCCCAAAGCCCCAGTGCATAGTTGTAGGTCATTCTAGTTCTTCTGTGTGGGATGCTGCCACAGCATAGCTTGACGAGCGGGGTGGAGATCCATACCCAGGATCCAAACCAGTGAACCCCGGGCCACCCAAGCAGAGCGCTCAAACTTAACCCCTCAGCCACAGGGCTGGGTCCAGGTTTCTCCATTTTTAAACGGTTGTCTAAGTACCTATGTTAATGTTCTCGGTTTCCCTTCTTGCCTGCAATGCCTGAAATATTTAACTGTCTGACCCTTTAACAAAAAGTTTGCCAAACTCTACTTAGAATAACGGAGGAAGGGTGATCTTTTCAATAAGAGATGCTTGGCCACTGGGTCTTCCCTAAGGGAAACTGAACTGACCCCTAGCCCACACCCCTCCCCAATCAGTTCCGGATGGATTGCAAGTCTAAGCGTGCAAGACAAACCAGACGACGGAAGAGAATGTGGGGCGATGTTTCGGAAGCTTTCTTGTACATGACACCTGGAGCACGGGGTACACAGGAA